TCTCTTTCTTTCTCATCCATGGAATTGCAAGCAACACGTAACTATTTTTCCTCTTCTTCCTTTTAGTTACTTCTTGTCATCTAAATATTTGAATCTTTTATTGCAACGCGTAACTTATTTTGATTCCCTAAGATATATACATACTTTTGTTAGCCCAAGAATAACTAACCAAGAGGGGGGTGAATTGGTTATTAAAACTTTTTCGTTAATCACTCAAGATTTTAATAAGTGAGCACGCAAATGATAGAGAATAATATAAACACAAGTAAACACGTAAATAAGCATAAGAATAACTAACCAAGAGGTGGGTGAATTGGTTATTAAAACTTTTTCGTTAATCACTCAAAAATTTAATAAGTGAGCACGCAAATGATAGAGAATAATATAAACACAAGTAAACACGTAAATGGAACAAAGTAAATTTGCGCGAAGTAAATGCGTTAAGTAAAAGGGATAGAGAATGCATATGTTATGGAGGTTCGAACCAATGCAATGATCTACGTCCCCCGTTATCATGCTCTCCGTCACGAGCAAGGCCAAATGCACTATAATGTTAACTTACAACAAGGAGTACCAATCTTTAGGTGACTTACAACAAGGAGCACTTATCCTTAAGTGACTTACAACAAGGAACACCTATCCTTAAATGATTTACAACAAGGAGCACCTATTCTTAGGTGACTTACAACAAGGAGCACATATCCTTAAGTGACTTACAACAAGGAGAACTTATCACAAAAAATGATGCCAAAACTCATTTTAATTAATCAATGGCAACATTCTCTTACTAAAAAGTTGCCAAAAGACCTTTTTAGCAACATTTATCAACAAATGTTGCCTTTTTAATGTTGCAAATTATGTTTTTTGGCGTAGTGCTAAATCATGAAAAATATAAATTTTCAAGATTCATGCAAAAAAATCGTTCTTAATCTTTGTATAAAAAAATAAACTAAACTTCAAGTTTCTACATGCAGAAATAATCTAAACACAAGAACCAAATGGTATTAAATTCATTATTTGAAATTAGGATTTACACATCAGGTCACATATATCAGGAAAAGAGGGAGGGTAATTAGCACAAAACATCCCTATCATTTGCACTCATTACACATATTCTATACTTGTTTTGAGGATCTGGAATACTGAATTCAGCAGGATTTCGGTTGGGTGTACAAAGAACCATTTTGGAATTACTTCTCGTTGGCCAGTAGAAAGTATATTGGGGGCCTCCAAGTTCATGGTACCTGATGGACCTTCATGTCTATAAAATTGTTGATGAAAAACCAAAGGACTTGAGGCACCAAGTATAGTTTTTCGCCTATCCATGCCAAAAGAAGAATCTTGAATAACACGTAAAGCACCTCTCGAGGATTTAGATTTTTGTGGTCTTCGTGAGTTTTCTTGCTCCAGACATTTAGCGCGCATTTGATCTACAAAATCAGGCAGCCTTTTCCGAAATATCTCAATGAAGTAGAGCAAAAATATTATTAAATATAAATGTGAATTGTCTAATTTTAAATTCAACTTTAAACATCTGTTTTATATTTTTATTAATTTAGTGATCTCGTTAGTTATTTCCATTAATATATAGAATAGATGAATACAAAATATTGTTAAAAAAAAATCTTTCTTACTTCAAATTATCATTTGTTTCTACTTCAACAAAAGTAAATCAAAAGTAGGCAAGAACCCAAATGAAATTTTTAGAGAAGTTAAACTCTTAGAGTTTAAAGAAGATGCATGCTTTTTCGAGCTTTCACCGGAGCTACGAACACCAGATTGTAACCAAATAAGATCTTTAGAATGATGTTTCTATGAAAACAGTGAACTATTGAGTAAACTATGATTCTCTTCCCTTTTGAACCTTGGGTGGTTGTGAAGATTATTGCTCCAATCAACGAGAAAACCGGGCTCAGTTAACACCAAAGTCGACACCACAATAAAGAAACCAAATCCCAAACCCACTTCCCAACCGGTTGCTACGGTTTTGCCCACTAAGGACGATCACGGGTTGCCCACAAAGGACGGGTATGTAGAATACAATAGCCTTAATCTTCAACCACAAAGGAAGAAAGATAAAAACAAAAAGAGAAGACAACCTCAACAAAAAACGGAAGCAAGAAGAAAATAGGCACGCAGCTTTCTTTCCCAACTCACGGCTATATTCTTTTCACACACATTTAAAAAATACAGAAACTGGTAGCATAAATAGGTAAATAATGGACTTTTAGGTTAATCAAATTAGAGGCCCAATAGGTAACATTTTAGTGGGCTATCAACCAAAAAAGCCTTCCAAGGTATTGGGTTGGGCCACGAACAACACTAATTTAATTAGATTGCTTCAAGTGGCCCAAGTGAATTACGGGATAGGTTTAGACAATTGTGATGTTGACGTTTCACTTCACTCATCGGCCAAAGCCTCTGAAATATAATTCCAACAAAATCGATTTAACATCATAGCCCTAAATTTATTGGGTATCAAAAACATGTCGATAACAAGAAACCCTTGCATCTCGAAATATGCTTCTTTCACCTCAGAGGAGACCATTTTTGAGCACCAATTCCAGCTGCAACAGAGTAATTTTCATGGGCTCCAAACACTTACTTCTTCTTAAGTCTACACTCACGCCCGTAACACATAAACATACATATGTGGCACATTTTTCTTCAACTTCGCAACCTCGGTTATTTTGTACTCATAGGAAAAATATAGCATTTTCTACTTCTTCTCCGAAACCCATATCTCCAATTCATCGGATGACCTCTTGGTTGAGTTATTACCCCCATGCTACTATGCCTATACCCAGACCAGGTTTTGTTATTCTATTTATTTTCTTTTCTATTTTGATGTTTTGTTCACTTTAATATATTTGCCGTGTTATTAATGTTTGTTCTGTTTTTAATGGATTTTGAAGAATGCTTTTATTTAATTTCGTCTAGTTTCTCAAAATTATCTATGAGAAACAATGAGTTGAATTAAGCATGACATTCTACATCCTTTCAACCATTGACATCACCATGCTCGGCCGGACATATGCTTCTAAAGAAATATTTTTAGCCTCTTGTTTGACAAATTTATAAATTATTAAAATTCACTTTCAACCACATATTTCAATGAATTCATAAGTACCATACACTTACAAATTAAACCATTTATAAATTCTTCCAAATAGAGACTTATAGTCCACATAAATTGGCCGACGCAGATTGCATACCTCTATAAATAATTTTGAGCCTACAATAACTTCAGTGTGGAGGTGGGCTGTCTAACTATGCATGATCCAGACATCTTTTTACGAACAAGTCTGCCTTGATCAATCGGGGTCGGTACATATGAGATGTCTAAGTTGGATATTGAAATATGGGATGCGAGCTTCTACCACCGAGCCTAACTTAGCATGAATATAGAAACAAGTTGGTTCACAATACATGGCTCATAACAGGTGGTTGAGATATTTTTTTCTTTTACCACGCCATTTTAGAGCTACCTAGCCCGATATATTTGACACTTCACTTCCATGGTGTGGAAATAAGGTGATTTGAAAAGAAAAAGTTTGGCACCAGGAGACTTTGCTTTCCAAGTTTATGGAGGAGTTTCTAAGCTTGCATTTGGAAAATAATTGTAAATTATTGAATTTATAAATATATAGAAATGAGTGATAGTTAAGTGAATAGTGTTTGTGAATTCGTTGGAATGTGTAATTAAAATTTTAGTATATATAAATGATTTTTGAATTTTGTCGAACTAAGACTGTCAAGAGTTTTACTGTAGTTTAGTCCTATCCCTGTCCAATACGCAAGTGCTATCTTCATTGTTAATTTTCACAAGGCTACCAAAACTTAAATGATTTGCACTTCATTTGAGTGTGAATAATAATCTTTATAACATTGAAGGCTTAAACGCTCAATTCAATTTGTTAGTAAACAAGATGGACTTGTTTGTTATAATCAAAACATTAAGGTAATGATCAACCATAGGTCAACAGTCCTAACAAAATCTACCCCCACAAGGAAGGGATAATGACATCGAAGAACCCAAGGAGGGTCAGAGACAGCGACAATACCTCCCAAGCAACGAACATGAGCCCATTCGAGAGATCGATACGATCATTGGTGGTCCTCACTTGGGCGGAGACTCTAGGAACTCCCAGAAGAATTATGTCAGAAAGGCAGTCAACCCCGCTATGACGAGCTAAANAATTTTCATTTTCATTATTCTACTCATTTTCAACAACACATTATTCAATAAAATAATATTTTTCATCACAACAATAACTTTTCCTTCTTTTTCAACCACACATTCTTCATCAATTTACTATTTCAAAATACATTCTTCCAAAATATTGTGGCTCAAACACACCCTTAGAATTACAACAAAATGCATAAATGAAAATAGATGTCAAATATAATATATGAATTAACGTGAATGTTAATTAATTTAGAATTAATATTAAGGAATATATGTGTGACAATGAATGTTAAATAATTTAGATTAAATGAATATAATTTAATTTTTAATTAAATGAAACTGTATGCTAATTAGTATACATGTATGTGAATAATGAACTGTATTCTTAAATATGAAATTCTAATTAATATTAATTAATTGAGAATTAATTATATTATTTATTACAATCTGTAAATTAAATATATATTATTGAAATATTTGAATTGTAGTAGGGCTATAAACGTTCAAAAAATTATTCTCTCTTGATATGATATTTAATATATTATAAATAATTAGTATAATTTCATTAATTCATTGACTTTTCTCTCCAATAAAAATCAAGATCTTTACAAAGTTTTCCAGCCTCATTATTACTCCAATTTCTATTATTCCTTAAAGCGTGCATAAAATGCTTTGAGCTATATTCAAGATAGTTTAAAAGAAGTAATGAAATGAATTAGGTGTGCCGCGCATGGGTTGACCCTTCCAAATGTTTTTGGAGTTTCAGAAGCTAAAAGTTAGTTTTATCCATCAACTCGACTGGACAGTTGAAATGTCAAGAGTTGTCAATTCTAGACCATATAAAAATCAACGGTATTCAGTATTTTCTCCATCAAATACGTAACTTCGCCATCATCTTTATTAATTTCCACAAAGACCTTGCGATATTCCATTGACTGGGCACATCAAGTCTTCACTCACTGCTAACCAGTAGTTCCACATCCTATAAAAATCCATTTCTGTTTGAAAAAATATCAAAATTATAAGCAGATTTCCCTTTTTTTTCAGATTAATGATGTCGGCCTTCATTATCTCTACATATTTTTGCTTATTTTGCATTCTCTGCTTCAGCACAGCAATTAGATCGGATCCTCCTCTTTACCATTATTGCTCAAATACAACTACATACAGTCCTAATAGCACCTATCTATTCAACTTGAATCAGCTTTTCGTTACTTTATCCTCAAACGCCACCCGGGAGAATGGATTTTACAACTACACTGTTGGCAGCGGCCCTCCCAACACCGTCTACGGTCTCTTTCTATGTAGGGGCGATGTTAAGGCTGATGCCTGCCAACAGTGTGTGGAAACTGCTACAAGTGAAGTCCTACAACGTTGTCCCAAGGAAAAAAGGGCAACTATCTGGTATAACTACTTATTTTATCAAAAGTTGAACTTATCAACATGTATTCATTTAAATATTATTTTCAACAGGTACGACTATTGCACGTTACGCTACTCGAATGAATCTTTATTCTCCAGGCCGGAGCAGTCGGTCAGTTCAACCCTGTCTAATAAGAAGAACATTACAGATGAACCCGACAGGTTCAGACAATTATTAGGAGAAACTGTGAATGAAGTAGCATCAGAAGCTGTAAATAATAATCCCTCCGGTGAGAAGTTTGCTACAAAAATAGCTAAATTCACGGCGTCTGAAAGCCTGTATACACTGGCACAGTGCATGCCATATCTTACGAGTGGTGATTGCGACTTCTGCCTTAAAATTGCTATCCCACAATTAAAAACATGTTGTGATAATAAGAAAGGAGGAAGAGTTATTGGTGAAAGCTGTAATATTAGGTACGAGGTTTACTCCTTCTTTAGTTCTACTGTGGCCCCTGCACCACCGCGTACTCCAAATATTCCTCCTATTCAGCCATCGCCTTCCTCACCTTCTTCAACCAGTCAAGGTAAGATTCTTAAGCAGTACATTATTTTTCAAAACAAAAAAGGATATCGACGAGAAAAAGAAAAAGAGTAATAACGAAATAGTAAACATCAATATGATTCTGCAATGATCATAACTAGTCACCAGAGATATATCTCAGCAAATCTTCTAGTTGTTTAGTGGATGATTTCGACAAGAAAATTTATCCTTTTCTTGTCCTCTTTTGTGTTTCCAATTCAGGAAATGGAGGAATTTCAAAACAAGTTATTATTGCCATCGTTGTACCAATTCCTGTTTCCTTTGTGTTTTTTTTCATAATCCGCTGCTTCGTGACAAGGAGAACAAGGAAGAAAGCTTACGATGCCTTCAATGAGGAAAATGGTAAGCTACGATTACACAGGAAAAGTAGAAGAAAAAGATTCCCATTCGGTCTTATTTGAATTTGTGTACACACTAGGATTCTGCATCGAACCAAATCATCTAGAAGATTCAGCCCCTTCATATGCACACACGTCTACAATTTTTCGTAAAATGAATGGTGATCAGAGAACTTGTTGGGTTTTTCGATACCCAATAAATTTGGAGCGATGATGTAAAATTGATGTTGGATAAATATTGTGACACCTAAGATTGATGATTCGACCCTAAAACTATTTGGGGCCATTGGAAGCAGTCTAATTAATTAGAGGGAAGAGTTCATAGATCGGGTATTAACTATCACTAAATCATTTTTCAGGCCTTAAGTTTGAAAATTACAAAAATCAGGTAATTGTAATTAATTAAATATATTAAAATCACAATTATACAATTCATGGTCACAAATACATCCTTATGAGTCACAAATTATTTACTGGTCACACTTTATCAAATTAATTGATTGCAAATTATTTCGAGATCACAAATTAAAAATTGTATACGTCACAGTTTATTTCATTGGTCACAGATCAAAAAAATTGTAGGTCACATTTTATCGATCGGTCACATACACCAAAACACCCCACCCCGATCCGATCGACCACCTATACTTGGTCACAGATGACCAAATAATCAGTCACATGTACCAAATAGTGGTCACATACCACCGTCACCAACACTACGGCAACTTGCGACAACCCTCACCCGGCCACCACCGTCGCCGCCACACCACCACCACCACCACAACCACAACAACAACACCACCACCGCCACACAAAACACCACACAACCATCAGATCTACCACCACAGCCGCCACCACACATCCTAACCCATACGCCACTATCCCCCAGCCCCACTCCACACCACGCGGTGTCACCACCATATCAACACCAACGGCACCTCCACCACCACCACATCAACACCATCCAGTCATCCTCACACCCACAACAGAAAAAAAAAACAAACAAAAACGGAAAGACGAAGGACTGCAGCGTCGCGACGAGGCGTTCGAAGCAGCGTCGCCGTTTTCAGCAACTTCCGTTCTCAGTAGCGTCGCTGGTTGTCGGAGTTTGAACTAATTTTTCTTGTCGTATGCAGCCATTCCCACGAGCGGCGAATCGCAGCAACGCCACTGCGAGTGGTGACTCTCAATAGCGTTGCTACGAGATGAGGAAGAGGATGGATGGAGAGATGAGAGGGAGAGTGAAGACGAGAGGGAGAGAGAGAGAGGAGGGAAAGAAACGTTGGCGGCCAGGATGGCAACTGCGGCGATGGTTTGAGTAGAGATACGGGAGAGGAGATGAGAGAATGGATGGAGGGAGGGAGAAAATTGATTTTAGGGTTTGGATGGGTTAGATAGTGTAGGTGTGTGTATATAAATTAATTTGTAATATAAAATTATTACCTGATTTTTGAATAATTAAACTTTCAACCTGATTTTTGAAAATCAATCTTTAAACACCATTTTTTTGTACTTTTCCCCTAATTAGAGTTGCTCATGGCCTGGTTCTTCACTTAGTGGATGGCTTATTTGGCATCGGAGCCATGTTGGTGGTAGATTTCCAACGAAAAAAGATTCGAAATCAGTAGAATTGGAGCAAAATCTAGATATGAAATTCTGTCCAGTTTCTTGAAAAATTCCAGACCTACAAACGTGATTTTCAGCCAAACCAGTGGCCGGTTGGACGAACGGAGACCACTAGTGGACTGTGCAGGCAAAGGTACTTCTGGTGTGGGTGCGTTTGACGTTTTCAGGTGACGGTTTCTTCAGGCAAAATATTTCTAACGTGATTTCTAACGATTTTGTGTTGTTAGTTTTCTGTTTCATGTTATATGGTAGAATTTGGATGATTTTTCCCTTTGTGCATGTGAGATTCTATCGTGGTTGGTTGATTCCCGCGGTCGCTGGAGAATTTAGGGCGAATAGTGGTGGCCAAAGTAGAAAATTCGATCTTTACGGACTCGAATTGGAACGCTCTGGTATATTGGCTTATCCTAATTTAAATTTCAGCATTAGCGCGTCATCGTGTGGGGTGACATTAGGATTGAGGTTATCGTGTGGGGTAACTATTGCTTGTGCTAGAAATTTAGGAATTATTTGCCGTATTTGAAATGTTGAATTTTGACAGTTAGTTGGTAATTGTTTTTGGGCACCTTAACTGTTGTTTAGTCTCTGTGTGAGATTGCATTGCGTAAAAATTTGAATTTTGTTGACATACATTCGTGTTGCATTGATTATTCCGTTAGACCACCTAGATTTGACCCACTTGAACATTCCCTTAATCTGAGATCTTGAATTTCACGAAATCTTGGGAATCTAGAACAGTGTATATTGTTGCCTTAGTCTGTGTGACATATTCGTGCATTTTTTTTTCTGTTTTTCAAAATATCTTCACATTTTGAAATTGAGATTTTTAATGGGAAATGAGATTTTTCAATTTGGCAACAAAAGATGAAGGAGATTTTAGTTCAACAAAAGGGTTCAAAAGTCATAGATGGCAAATTTTCTACAAATTTAATAGAAGTACAAAAGGAAGAATATGATGAACTTACTTACATTTCAATTATTTTACACTTGTCCGACACCGTTTTGAGAAAAATTGAAAAACTTGATTCTACTAAAGAACTTTGGCAAAAGTTGGAGGACTTATATTTGGTTAAATCTACTCCTAATAAGTTGTACTTGCTTGAAAGATTTTTCAATTTTAAAATGGATCATTCCAAAGATTCAACAAACTTGTTCAAGATATCGTTAATTGTGATGAAAAAGTGTCTGATATGTATAATGCCATTGTTTTGCTGAATTCTATATCTAATTCATATAGTGAGGCTAAGAATGCAATTAAGTATGATAGAGACACTTTAACATCCGAAATTGTCATAAATTTTCTTAGGAGTAAGGAGATAGAGATTAAAACTGAAAAAGAAAATAAAAGTGGTGAGTTGCATATGATGAGGAGTAGAATGAAGTTTAAGCAGATGAATTTGGGTAAAGCTCTCAAGACAATAGTGATTCGAGTAATAACTCGAGTGATGATGGTGGTAAGGACGAGGACAAGGAAAAGGAATGGGACAAGTCTAGTGGTAGACGGTGTTACAGTTGTGGTAAGACTAGACACTTTATTAGGGACTGTCCCAAGAAGAAAAATGATAAGCAGAATGGTAAAATGGGAGGTGAGGCGAATTTGGTTATAGGGTCGAGTGATAACCCTAGTGAGGTTTATGAGTGTAAACATAGTTACTGGATGTGCATCCCTGTGTAATTCTTTTTGCATGTGTGTGATTGCTCAATTCCGTTACATGATTATGTGTTGCATTTCAATGTGTTTGATATGTGCATTGGCATGAATTGGAGTGATCTTATTACTTAGTGTAATTGTTTGCATGCATAGTCGTTTGGGATGCATTAGCAGTGTGTAGTATAGATGCCTAGGGGTACATTGGTGGTTTGTACCGGGGATGTGGAGTATGACATTTGGATCATGTGGAAAGGTGATCAAATGTTGGAATCCTTTATTTGTAAAGAGGCCCTGATCATGTGGAGTGTAAGAGAGACACTTCTATCACTTCTGTTAGGTGAAGACCCATTATCCACGTAGGTTGGGAAAAGTGATGTGGTGATAGAGGATTATCCCTAGAACTTAGAATTTATAGAGATTTATCAATTAGACAAAGGTTGAGTGATTAGTCTAGTGAGCATGGTGGGCGATGAGGTGAGATATGTGTTATCGAGGTGTGAGCAACACGGAATGGAATATGATAAGTCTGGTGAGATCTTTTTTGTGGGGTCATTTATGCATTTGTTGCATATGTGTTGGCATGTTGATTAACTTGGTGTTAATCTGTTGTTCTGTGTGAACATGTCTTTGTGAAAAGATCTGTGTTATCATATATGTTATCTTCATTGCATGTTTATTTGCTCTTGATTGTAGGGATGACAAAAAAACGCATTTAACCCGATACTCATGGGGCCCCACCCCGAATGGGGTAGGGATTACCCGCCTAATCGGGTAAATGGGGAGGAGACAGGATGAGGGTCATTGCCCCGAAGCGGGTATGAGACGGGTACGAGAAACATAGTCCCCGCCCCACTACCCATCCCATTTAAAGTTAATTTCAAATTTAAATTTTTTATCAAACAAAAATAATATATTTATCATCATTTTTAAAGAGAACATAAGTTGTTTTTAATAAATTGGTAAAAAAAATAATATTTATTAACTAAAGATACAAAAATGTTAAAAGTAAAAAATAAACGGGGCGATAAATAGGACAGAAGACCCGCCCCGCCCCAAACCGCTTTAACTGGGTATTGGGATGGGGTAAGGTAACAAAAATACCGGACGGGACGGGGGTGGGAATGGCCGACCAGTCCCATACCGCCCCGTTGTCATCCTTACTTGATTTATTAATGTGATTATCTGCTTCTACTTGGGTGTTCTTGATCTTAGCTCTGGTGAGTACATGGAGCAAGTATGGTATGTGTTTCGGGTGCGAAACACGAGGTAAGGTCTGTGATTCCAATTTTATTGGTTACCTTGATTATACAAGTATAAACTGTGTGTTTTTAGGTTACTTGCAGATTGATTGGGTATCAAAGGTGGAGATTTGTTGGGTTTTTTGATACCCAATAAATCTCAGATGATGACGTAAAATCAATGTTGGATAAGTATTACATTGACACCTGAGATTGATGACCCGGCCCCAAAACTATTTGTGGCCATTGGAAGCAGGGTTGCTCACTTAGTGGATGGCTTATTTGGCCCACTTATCGTCTTCTTGTTGGGCTGGCCCATTACTGTACCCTAAGTGATCCTATATATATTGTTCCTTCATGGCTTTGTCATTTAAGTGTGTTTTGCCCTTTTGTTTGAGATAGAGACACGGTTGCTTTCTCTTTATGTTTTGTGCTTCCACTTGTAGTTTGTCGCGTTCATCTTCTCATTGTTCTTCAGCCTTTGTGGCT